AGCTACTCGGGAGGCTGAGGCAGGAGGATTGCTCGAGCTCAGGAGTTTGAGGTTGCTGTGAGCTAGGGTGACGCCACGGCACTCTAGCCCGGGAAAAAGAGTGAGACTCTGTCTCAAAAAAAAAAAAAAAAAAGTTTTACAAGCATACTTACCACTGACAATATGCATTATATGAGTGACTATTTGCCCAAACTAAATGAAAGGTAGATCTATTCATACTGTGTAAAGGTCACAATGGTTACAAATTCTGTTTCTCCAAATCAGGTAAGTTGTATATATTATAAGTCCTTACTTTTAGACAAGTCCTAGAAATCTTATTAAAGCAACATATAGAATTCAGATTCAGATTTAAGTCATACTTAAAGACAACTACAGTCTTTATGGAATATCATATTGCCTCAAATTTCCACATTGTCACAAAACTTGCCCTCATGCAAAGAAAAACCTGAACTTTATCACCAATAGGAAATTTCCATTAAAGTTTGAAAAAAGGCCTCAGTGAACCAATAACTTGTTGCGAAACAAACTATTTCCAAGAAATCCTTAAACTAGAAGATTCACCAGAATAAAATTATAAACATGATTCAACCAGGAATATACCATTTATACAGATTCTTGAAGTATGGAACAAGATGGCAAAGAGATCATTTTAGAAAAACTAACCTCTCAAAAGTGTATGGGAGGCTTGAAAAAACAAGAAACTTGAGGCATGAAAACCTTTAACGCTACTGCAAAATCTCCGTTTGTACTGATAAGGGACTGAATTGGAAACTGGGATGGAAAAAAAATGGAAGAGTAAAGGTATGAGGGAACCAACCAAATGGGAAGGATTTCACAAAGCAAAGAAATTTGTGTTCAATAACTGACTAACTCCATCTGTTTCCTAAACCTGGGTTTTTAAGAATATTTGGGGGCCAGGCGTAGTAGCTCATGCCTATAATCCCAGCACTTTGGGAGGCTGAGATGGGAGGATCATTTGAGGCCAAGAATTCAAGGCCCGCCTGAGTAACATAGTGAGATCCTATCTCTACAAAAAGTAGAAAAATTAGCAAGTGTAGTAGCATGTGCCTGTAGTTCCAGCTACTTGGGAGGCTGAGGC